CCTGCTGAAATACTTTGTATATCAGATCTGTAATATTTGAGTTATAAGAAGCTATTATTATGGAAAGGCACAGAAATACAAAAGGTGCTTTAGAGCTCTCCGTAATGAAAGAGCAGAGCTTATGATTTTTTTCTATTGGTGTTTTAATTGCTGTCTACATCCCATTAGTGCCTGAATCTATCAGTTGTTTTGTCTATGGACAGGAAGAGGCAATGTGAGAACAAAATCAGTAGTGACAAGTACAGCTTAACAAACTGTGCTAAGAAGACAACAGTAATATGTGATGGGTTTTATTTCTTTAAATGCACATTCCTCCCTTGCTCTTGTGTGCATTTGTTTTTTCAGTGTCTGTTGTAAAATGGTTTCTTAGGAGGTTTGAGTGTGGGGTGTAATGTGGTTTTATTTATCAGAGACAGCAGCGTCCAGTTTACGGGCGATATGGCAGGAGTCAGTGTGAGGGAGGTTGCAGTAGGCACATAGGCGCTCAGGACTCTTCTATTTGGAGCAGGTGGAATGTGGCCCTGGGGACCTGTAGTTCCACACAGGTTCTGCTGGTGTGCACTCTGATTCTGTCACATTTCGCAAGCTAACATTTGGATGAGGTCTCTTCTGGGAATATGTGAGTGCTAAAGGAAGTACGATCGGCCACTCAGGAGAAAATGCTGCTTCCACCAGCTTGTGACTGACCCAGGTATCTGTGTGAGGCAGCACAATGATAGCAGATATGCTTACACATTTTTGATGATATATTTGGCTGTAGGGACATTCTGTCATGGTCTTACTTTCCCTAAGAGTAGGCATTTCAAATATCAGCTTTGGCCTTTGCTGAAAATTAACTATTTCCAGCCTCCCATCCTTCAAAAGCAACAGAAAAGTAAAATATTTTGTCCTCTCTTTTTCCTGATGTCTCTTCTGGGGGGACCTGAAAACAGTGAGCACTTACATATCAGATGGTGAAGCAGGGTGGTGCTGAGTCTTTCCTTCATCATCTTAGGCAAGATTGATGTAGACTGGGTAGTGTGTGTGTGTGTGTATTTATATATATATATACTTGTCTATATGCTTGCCCTAGATACATGCCCTGGTTTTAGACATTAACTTTTGGCTGCTACTAGAAGTAGGATACCCAATATACAAGAGCATGTAGAATATACTACTTAATAAAATCCAATTACAGCCTTCCCTGTCTAGGTACTAGAAGAAATCTGACATCCTAATCATCAGGCCTCTCTCTGTTGAAACTGTTTATGCTAGAATAGCTTTTTGGCCAAGGCTTTTTTGCTTACAGCTATGTTAAAAAGAGTTAAAAATGGTTGCACTTTTAGGTTAAATAAGAAAAATCTCCCTTTCCTTGATTTAGACAATTTCTAGTCGTAAAGTAAATAATAAACAACAGCTCTCCACTTCAGTGACATGGAGAGAGCACAGCTTTTGGTTTTTTTTGTCACAGATCACCATCTTTGGAACTGTTCTAGAAAACTATTTCTAACAATAATGGGAAATTTAAGATAGCAGTGTACTTAAATTGAATGTAACTCCCCACACACACTTTTTTTGAGGTTACGTCATGTAATATTTGTGCTCGTGAGAGCACGATAGCAGTGTACTTAAATTGAATGTAACTCCCCCCACACACTTTTTTGAGGTTACATCATGTAATATTTGTGCTCGCAGGAGCACAAATCAAAGATGATCAGAGTGCTGGAGCACCTCTCTTATGAAGACAGCTGAGAGAGTTGAGGCTGTTCAGCTTGGAGAAGAGAAGGCTGCAGGGGGACGTTATACCAACCTTCCAATACCTGAAAGGTGCCTATAAGAAATTTGGGGAAGAGCTGTTCACTAGGGCATGGAGCGATAGGACGAGGGGTAATGGTTTTAGACTAGAAAAGGGAAGATTTAGGTTGGATATTAGGAAAAAGTTCCTCAATATGAGGGTGGTAGATCACTGACACAGGTTGCCCAGAGAGGTGGTGGAGGCCCCATCGCTGGAGATATTCAAGGCCAGGCTTGATGGGGCTCTGAGCAACCTGATCTGGTAACGTTGTCCCTGCTCACTGCAGGGGTTGGACTGGATCAGCTTTAAAGGTCCCTTCCAACCCAACACATTCTGTGATTCTATGAAGAGCACAATAATTAAATGGATTCTCTGCAGTTCCAGCAACCAGAGCACTTCTGTGAGCAGAGAATGGTCCTAGTTTATAATTTGATTGTAAGTTGGGTTTTTCGTTAAATACATTGGGATGTCTCATAGTGATAGTTACTGCGGTGTTAGCATATGATCCTGGTGGTTGAAGTTTGTCTTCTGAAAGTACTGATTTGAGATACGACAGCGCGCTGCGCTCGGAGATCCAAAGCCATAGGGATATTTTTGCACAAATTATGATCGCTTGGAGGAACTATCCAACATTACTTAGTTTTAATTTACTAAAAGGTGGGTAGGGTTATTTATATTTTCAGATGTCTTTGTCACAAGAACGTTAGGTCAACTGACACATCACAGAAATAAAAAGCAATGCCAGAGCTTTGGGATGAAGTGTTCTGGCTGTCCTACCTGCTGCTGCTGGGAGTTGGTTTTAAGTGTTGCTGCTTCTGTTATGCAAGATTGCAGCATTCTTGAGGGTTTTTCTGTTTCATTTTTCTCTTTGTGTGCCGCAATGGTAGGCACAATGGACTTCAGTCAGGAATAATTAACTTGGTGAGGAAAAGAGACTAAGTAGGGATGCTTGAGTTTGAGATGTAATGGTAGGCAAATGAGAGTTTTTCCTAATTCAGGTGTGTCAGTTTTTTAAGGCCAGTTACATGGGACTGTTTGTTAGTTGGGCTGCTGAAAAGCTGAATAAGTCAGGTTCTTTGCCCTCTTCCTCCGTTTTTCTTACACTGCTCATGTGTTACTGCTCTCAGGGGATTTCTGGCCAGGCAGATTTACTGAATGGTGTCTGATGCAGCTCGGTTTTAGACTGCAACTGCTTTAATTACAGCGACCTTGCTTTATGGAGACTTTGGTCGTAACTTCTGTTGCTTCCACTCTAGTTTTGTGGAGGGTTTGTAGTTCTGACAGATGCTAAGAAGTTTTGATTGAGACAGGCTCACAGCAGGGTTAGTACTTACACTCAGAGTGACCATTTCTGATAGCTGTGTGTTTTCCTCTTGGCAGCTGTCTTAGGAGAACAGGGATCTTTCTCATCAGTGAGTAACGCTGCCTTTGCTTACTCTGTGAGCCTGGTCTTCTCCTGTTGTTAAGTGTCTCTTGTGACAGCCTATAACGTGTACCAAATGATTGGCCTCTACCCCTGTCACAGTAATTACTTCAGAGAGAGACTTGTGCATAAGACATCACACAACATTGAACTAAGGTTGATGAGATGCAGTCGCAACAGAGTGCTAAAGCTGCCCTAGGCAGGTCTATAAAGACGGCTTTGTTCTATAGGGAAATTCTGTAGACTGATGAGTTGGAGAGTTTAAAGCATTTAGTGAGGCCTTATAGTTACTGCAGATCATTGAAACAGAATACAAATATAAGGCTCTTCAGGAAGGAATTCCTAATAAGATTTAAGCTGTTTCACATCCAGAAATGCCTACCTGTAATATTCTGTGGGACTGTCACAGGGCAGGTTGATGTTACTTGTGGCTAATTCCATCCTATTTCTTTAGGAGATGACGAGCAAAGCGATTGGTTTTATGAGGGAGAATGTGTTCCAGGATTCACTGTCCCCAACCTTCTTCCCAAGTGGGGAGCTGACCACCGACCTGAAGTGGAGCGGATTGACTCGGGCCTGGACAAGCTCTCGGATTCCACGTTCCTTTTGCCCTCGCGGCCAGCTCAGAGAGGTGAGGTGCATAAGGAGTGCCACGTGTTTGAGTACTGCTGATGGGATGGCACGGGTAGATTCTGTCCATAGGTGCTGCAATGTAAACTGCTGTCAGTGATCTGGCTTTTCTTAAAAATCCAATTTAAAATAGCGACTTTACTGGAGAGGTTACCAAAATACTCATGCCAGCTGCCCACATTCTTGAGCTGTCTTTTTTCTAAACAGGGACTTTATTTGATTTGTGAATAAATTGGCAAATCTGCCTCTTGCAGATCAAGAAACAAGAGACAGAGGATCTGTTTTGACCACTGAACTCGCTGTTTTTCCTGGTGTGTTTGTCAGGAAGAATTTTCTGCATTCATTGCTCAGTTTTTCTGTGTTTGGTTTTCAGGATTTCATGCTCGCCTGAATCGCCTTCCAGGAGCTGCTGCCCGTTGTCTCCGAAAAGGTCGGAGGAGGCTTGTTGGCAAGGTATTCCCTCTTGCAAGATGGTAATTTTGTATTTCCCATGCCGATTAGTCCTGAAGTACTATTTTAAAATGTCACATGAATTGTTTTCTGCAGAAATGAGCCCTGTGTGTTTTTTGTTTCATGTATTGTTTGATTTGTTTAACTGCTTTGACTGTCAGAGGTGGATTGAGTGACTGAGTGGATTGTACGGCAGGTTTGGAGTGGCCAAGACAGTTGATCAGCGCTAAAAGCGGTATGGAAGGGGGTCTGAAGATGAATGACAGGGAGCCTAACTGTCAAGGAGATTTAGACAGAACGTAGGGTAAAATGATGATGGCATGAGACTTGACATGCTCACAAACTGAGACTACAAGGGCAGAGAGGTGACTCAAAGGTGAAGGAAGGCCACATTTTAAATAGGGAAGCAGACTGACATGAATGGCAGCAGAGGAAGGTGATTTTAGCAGTTGCATTTTGGTGCATTTATTTAGAAGAATAAAAGGGTGTATGAAATAATGCAGACTAAGTTACCCAAAGCCAAAGGTTTATTATATGTAGGACAAACAGCAAACAAAATACTAGTCCTGTTTCTAAAGGAATAAGTGGTACTTTGCAGATGTCTGTCTAAAAGAGGGACGGATACACCTGGTTGGGTCCGGATTGTAGTGTTGTGTACTGCTGTCTGTCGTAAAAGATGCTTCTGAGAAGGAGCGCGTTGGCTCTGTTTGGCTTTTCTGTTACTGGGATATGTTCTGTGCTTTTGAACACATTGGCGTGCACTCCGAGCTGACTGGCTTTAGAGAGTCTCTGTTACCCCGTTGTGTTAGAGGGACCTGCAGTCTAGAGCGTGACGTCTTCCTTCTGCTCAGTCACACTTGAAAGATCCTTTTTTGCCCCTTCTTTCTTCAACTCACCTTGCTTAGTTACCAGTGTTTAAAATATGAATCCTCAGCTGACAGGAGGCCGGGTTTGGGTAGGGTTCCTCAGGCCACCTGCAAGTGGCTGGGCCTGTCGGCAGCACCTCTAATGATCCAGATGAGAAGGATAATATTTACTTGTTTAATTCATCTTCATCACCTTAAAGGGATCTTTGACATTTGCAGCAGAGGTCACTGCTCCCCCTTCCCCATCTCTTTCTAAATTGTAATCATAAATAATGAGTTTCATTCAGAGCTCCCCGCCAGCGAGCTGCTAATTACCAAAAGTACGGCTTGTAATTTACACAGTAATAAACCGTAAATTTAAACATTACGGCACTTTAAGTTAATAATTTTCCTGCTGTAACAAATAGCCCATCTTTCACCCCTGCTGCTACGGCTCCCCCCAAACTTTGAGTATGTTTTGCCTATGTACCTGGCACGACCTGTGAAGAATCTTACCTGTGAAAGCTTTTTGCCCTCATTTTCAGGCCCTTGCTGCAAGGTGCATTTCTTTCTTGGAGGCAGTTGCTATGCAGATACGACCAGCTGGTGCTCCAGGCTGTGTGTGTACTTGTATGCCAGCATCAAGCACATACACAGGGCAGTGTCTCGCAGGGAGAAACGTCCTCCCAGAGCAAGTCCTTTCTCCTAGGATCTACCTTTTCTTTAGCTGCTAGAGGTCCTGCTGCTGAATTGCTGCTTTCAGAAAGGGCAAAAGCTTCAAACATACCCCTTGTTTCGTTCATCTGTGCTTGGTGAATCCCCGTTATTAGTGAAACAGTGTGATGTCCTGTCTCTCGGCTTGTTTCTGGCCTGGCTGACCCCAGCAACGTGGAAATAAGCACTTGTCAGCCACTTCCCCTGCATCTTTGTGCTGCATGCTTTGTACTGGTTCAGTCCTTGGTGGGCCCCTGTGCAAGCAAATATCATCACTAAAATCATAAAAAACAAGCCCCACAACTAAAACAAAGTTATTTTCTGCCATTCTAATTAGTTAAACCAGCTTAGTTGAGGCTTTAAAGGGAGAGGGTGAATATGTTTAGCCTAGAGTGGGCTGGGAAGGAAAGGATGCGGCCCGGAGGAGTAGGGTCTGTCCTTATCCTTATTTCCTTATCGGCAGCAAACTGTTATGTCTGCTCACTGTGCGAGAGTCTGCAACCTTTTACCTGTCTTTGTGTTTCAGGAGACCTCCATGAGCACTCTGGGCACCGAGAGGCTAGGTCATGTTGTTAGTGATCCGCGCCAGAAAGAGTAAGGCCCTTAACAGTCGTTGTGTAGAACTTTGAGGGGGGAGGAAGAGCG